GAGAGAGAGAGAGAGAGAGAGAGAGAGAGAGAGAGAGAGAGAGAGAGAGAGAGAGAGAGAGAGAGAGAGAGAGAGAGGCTGTAGAAATGGATAAAGATAAAGAAATAAGGTGTCCGAACTGAATTCCCGCGCACTCTTCGTCATACACAATAGATAGTCTGTCACACAACCTGTTGTCTGCTAGGACTCTGCTGCTTGCTCTGTCAACTTTAAGCCTTAGCACTTTCTCTTGCATGTGCGTGAGTGCTTTGCTTGACTGCTCTCTTCATCGATCCTTACAAGTTCCACAAGTCGTGGAAATGCAGGATCTGTCTCGTCGTTTGCGAGTGTGATGTCGATTAGTGCTAGTGAACGTCAGTACGCTACCTCGATTCTGTTTCAATTACCATTGCTGTGAAGTACTGCTGCGCGTCTGCTGGATTCATTATTTGAGGAATTAATTGCTGAGTTGCTTCAAAAGTGCGAGGAATAGTTTATCGGTTGTTTAACCAGGACATCAATTCGTATGTCCTGTCCGTGTGCCCGCCTGCCTCTCGTCTTTGATCGGCCAACATTGGCCCTCGTTCTATTCATTGCTCAGTGCCATGTGTCCACTTCTGATAGGTATACACGTGTTTCTTCAAGCCTCTTGACTTGTGGTATGGAGGTTGAGCTCAGATGGACTCTTTGAGTTCCTGCAACTTAAGCAATAGGCAGAACAGGCGTTTGATGTGGAGGGTGGAAACATAAGGGAGGCGTCGTTCCCAGTTATCCTCCGCACACGCTCCGTTTGGTCCTGCAACTAGTGTGAATACGTTTCTTCCCTTCTTCATGCGTGTTGTGTTTCTTAATACTCCTAATCCCACTGTACTTCCTCCCTCCCTCCCTCCCTCCCTCCCTCCCTCCCTCCCTCCCTTCTTTCGACATTCAGTGATGGGGTACATCCTTACAACTCGTCTCCATGGTCTTATCATGTGATGGGGTACATCCTTACAACTCGTCTCCATGGTCTTATCATGTGATGGGGTACATCCTTACAACTCGTCTCCATGGTCTTATCATACTCGTACCTAGATTGTTAGGCAGACCAGTAAGAACAGGTTATAGCGAAAGAGACTGACGGACAGGATAAGAGACGAATGGGACCACAGAGAGAAAACAGCCAGGTCAACGTACGCAGGCTGAAAATCACACAGGTCGATTGATCGATCGATCTACGTAGATCCATCCTTTCATCCATTAATCCATCCATCTACCTGTCCATTTATTCTTCGATTCCATGTATTCGCCCATCTCATCTGCCCATATTGATGGCTCCCCTTGTCAATGGATTGGCACGTAGTTAGCTCAGTAGGTCGAAGAGCAGATGTCGCTTGTGTTAGGAATTTGGCTGAGCAATAGGTAGTAGTGAATAAGCAGTCTTCTGGCATAAGTAGATGGGCATGGAGTACTGTTATTCTTTTTCTTGTTTGCAAGAGGAGGGGGCTTGCGCATGCGCGCACAATGCAGAGGAGGGAA